ATGGATGTTCATGCCAACTGATTGGGAATTGCCTAAACTGAGAACTGATTCAAATGTCCATCAATTGTAGAATTAATAAAAAATTTTTGATATATCCATATAATAGAATACTACTCAGAACTGAAGAGGAAATAGCTATTGATATATGCAGTGATACAAATAAATCTCAAAAATGCTACTTAGAGAGGCTGGGGAGACAACTTAGTAAGTAAGAGCACTTGCTCTGCAAACATGAGGGTCTGAATTTGAATCCCTAGCACCCACTTAAAAAGCCACACTTGCCTACAACCCCAGCATTTGGGGGTGGAGACAGGTGGATCCTGGGAGCTCTCTGGTGGGCCAGCCCACCTGAAATGGTGAGCTTCCAACTCAGTGAGAGACTTTGTCTCAGAAAATAAGGTGGAAAGTGACAGAGGACGACACCTGACCTCTGTATGTATGTGTGTGGACACACATACCCACATATTCATGTGCATTCACCACACACACACACACACACACACACACACACACACACACGCATGCACAATGTTATCATGAGCAATGGAACCTAGACCAGCACAAAATACCATATGCTATACAAGCCTATTCACACAAACTTCTTTAACAGGCAAAACTAATCCATGATGACAAAAAGTGAAGAAGTGAAGTGGGCTAAGGGGGAAGAACTGATTGCAAAGAGGCACAGCGATCCTTTGGATGTGGAGAAAATGTTCTGTATAATAATTATGGTATCTTGGGGGCTGGAGAGAGGGTTCAGCGGTTAAGAACACTTGCTGTTCTTCCACAGGATCCTGGTTTGACACCCAGCATCCACATGGTGGCTTACAACCATCCATTAACTCCAGTTTCAAGGGATCTGACACCCTCTTTCGGCCTCTGCGGGCATTGCATGACACAGGTGTTCTTACATACATACAGTTAAGACACTCATGCATATAAAATAAAAATAATAAATAAAATATTTAAATAATGTTAACTGTGGTCATTTCCAAAGTGTTCTACAGGCATATCCATTTGTTTGAGAACCAGTATACTTAAGATGCATGCACTGTATTATATGTAGTGAGAATGTAGGAAAAACAGGTAATGCTTTGTCTCTTCCATGGATTCACAATGACAGCACCTGAATAGCCCAAGAGAGAAAGAGTCTGGAAAGCCGGCCACTGCTGGGTAGTCCTCTGGGCTGTCTGAAGATGTTATGATGACAGGTGGACCAGGGCTTAGGGACTGTGTTGCTCTTGGTCAAGTCACTTATCTACAGGGCCTTTTGAACCTGGAGGTCCCATGGCTCCCCACGCTGAGAGGCCTGGAAGTCTAGGCTTTCCTAAGAGTGTGTGTCTTAGCCTGGACTTACAGGCAATCACACTGCTTATGTGATGGGCTGGCACATGCCAGGTCACTCAGCCCAGTCCATAAGTCATCCCATAAGGATCTTTGTCACTAGAAGTTGTTCCTGTGTGTGTGCACATGTATGGAGGCCAGAGGACAATCTCAGGTGTCATCCTCAAAAATACTGTTCCTCTTCTTTAAGACAGAGTCTCTCATTGACCTGGAGCTCACCAATTAGGCTAGACTGGCTGGCCAGTGAGCCCCTGGGATCCTCCTGTCTCTGCCTCCCCAGCACTAAGATTACAAGTTTCACCATGCCAGGTATTTTTATATGGATGCTGAGAATCTGAACTCAGGTTCTCATCTTGTGAGGCAAGTGCTTCACTGACCGACCTGTCTCCTCAGCCCTGTGGATGCAACTTCTTAAAGCATAGTTGACACTGGTAATGCTCTTAACATGTGTGGCCTCTGCACTGGTTGAATGTCTTTCTTCTCTAGGGACAATTCAGAAAAGGTTATGAAAGCACAGGCCTTTGAGTTCCAGGTCTGAATTCCAGGTTTGCCTGGTGCTGGCTGTGTGACTCTGGGCTGATGTTGCTGAGTTGGTCATTAATGATAATGCCAACCATTTTCTTTTCTTTCTGAGACAGGATCTCGCAGTGTAGCCCAGGCTGGAACTTGCTATGTAGACCAGGCTGGCCTTGAACTCACAGAGATTTACCTGCCTCTGCCTCCTGAGTGCTGGAATTAAAGTTTTGCACCACCATGTCCACCGGGTAATGTCTATCTTAAAGGCAGGTGTGCAGCTTGGGACCATGAATGATAGGGTCTGACAGGGTGCCTTGCCATCTAGCAAATGTTCAGCATAGCCTCATACTTAGTGCACTGGGGTTCGAGCCACCTTCTGACCCATTGCCACCCTCTGAGCACCCACCTGACAGCCTAGAAGGGCTTGAGGAGTCCTGTCTCACTGCTCAAGACAGAGATGGGTGCTGTGGCCTCCCCCACTGTGGCCAAAAGGGTCTAAAAGAATGAACCAAACAGGGGAGGGAAGTCACCCTCCAGCCCTCACCCTTTGCAGCCCCACTGCAGTTGCTGTCCCCCTGGGCTGTCACACAATGATAGCTTAGAAGGCTGTTCTCTACACAGCATGGAGCAGCTCGGACTTGAGGCAGAGCTGGTTTCTATCCTGCTCCTCACTAATCTGCTGTGTGATATCAGGTGACTCCCTGGACCTTTCTGATCCTGTTTCCTACCTACCACAGAATGGCTTTGAGGGTCCAATGAGGGAAGGAGCTTCCTGAGAAAGTGATTTGCAGACTTTTACACTCTTTTGTTATATCGCCATTGCCATCCATTGAATTAGGCTGTGGGTTCATGGGAAATCAGTGAGGCCACTGCTCACTTCCTGCAGCTTAGGGAGAGGAGGGGCACCTCATCTGAAAAAATGAGGATAATATGTGACCTCCTTGAAGTGGGGGATTTATCACCCCCCTACTCTGAAGTCTTTGACTGAAAAAGTTCCGAAAAGATTGGCCTTACCAAAATTGGTATCACCTGGTCTCCTGATCGTTGAATTTTCTTTTATCAGGAAATAAGAGAAAGTATTTCATGTTATAGTTAGAAACGAGACTTCAAAGGCAACTGACCTGGGGGAGGGAAAAGCATGTTGCTTCACAGTCTCACTAAAGTGTGGATGACTGAGAGAGTGCAAATACTGATGGGAAGCTGGGAAACCTCGTCCCACCAAGTCACAAGAGGGTTTCCTCAGTGACAGCCATGACTGAGTCCTGTCCATTCCCTAGGATCAAGGCTCAAGTGTGCTTTGCCAGCTCTCCCCAGCAGGGGCTCCAATACACCATTCACTCTTCTCTGGGATCTAACTGATCTCCCTCTTATTTCCGAGGCTTCCCTTTGCTCCCAGCCCCAAATTCTAACCCCATGCACTGCAGAAAACTACACCAATGCACCAACCAGGGTGGTCCAGACCTCCTGGAACCCCTCTCCTCCCACCCCACCTGACCTTCACTCCTATCTCCAATCATAAAACCGAAGCAAACTAAAGAATCATGAAAATAACCTGGCATAGTTAAAGAGGATGTCTTTTCCTCCTCTATTCAGGCTCAGAGACATCGCAGGAATGGAATATCTGTATACTGTACCTGGTTTCCACCACACCATTATCAATAGTATTAGTTGAGCATTTACTATGTGCTAGCCACCGTTCTAAGAGCTTAACATATGCTAGCTCAGCACTCTTACAAAACAGATCAGACACTAAAGGACAGAGCAGCTGAGACACACAGCTAACAGCACACAGCTAGAATGTGGCAAGATTGGACTCAGTTTGTTTTTAATTCCTTGTGTCCTGCCCATTGAGGAAGAGCGATTCTTTCAATCCTGAAACAATCATCACCTATGTTGCACTGTTCTGGGGGTGATCAAAAGGAGACACTGAGTCCCCAGAGGCTGAGTGGTGCTCCCAGGTAATCATCAGCTGGGCTCCACAGTTGAGATTGACAGTCCCTCCCCACTGGAGGTGGTTGTCTATAACCCAGGCAGGTTTTAGCCAGGGGTCATGACCTGGAAATTAGCCTACTGCCCTTATTACAGGCAGTGAGGTTCCCTCGATCCTCACATATCCTCCCTGATGGCTTCCGAGGGCAGTCTGTTGCTTGCTGATATCTCCTTAAATTTGCTGTGCTCAGACTAAGGCTCCCCTGATTTGGGGTGAAGTTGGCAAAAAGAGCCAATGTTTAAAGTTGCATTTTTAGAGCCTGCTTTGGACAGAGGTTGGGAAGGTGCCTTTTAAATTCATGATCCCATCCACCACCTCCACTTCCCAACCATCTCCAAGGGTCTGCAATTCAGGGTCAGAGAAGACATTTAGAAACAAATAAATGCCTTTTTACTTGCCCTCCGGGCATTTCCCTTGTGGTTCCAGACCCACTGCCCAGTTGTCACTCCAAGCTATAATCATTTGCCAACCATGTACACTCCCTGCCCCCCCCCCATGGGCCTCTCTCCCTCTCTCTACCACGCTCCCCAGAATCAGGTCCGGACGCCTGCGCAGGAATTTATTTGGTCCGGCTTTCCTCGCCAGCACACAGTTCTGTACTTCTCCCGCTGACCCGCCCAGAGGTCCCCCAGACCTTCCATCCCCTTGGATCAGCGAGATCCTCACTCAGCCTCGGTCGCCCGTCCTTTCCCCTACCCACCAACTCAGTCACCCAGCCAGGTGTACGGGTTCCAGCCCTGCCGGGTGAAGGCGAAGAGGGCAGGACTCCCAGGCTAGGAGTGTGTGTGGATGGAGCTCAGAATGAGGACAGACGGAACACCGAGGATCCAAAGAGGACACGGGAGCCCGGGACGGACACTCAGACTGGAGGGGACAGGGCGCACCTGGGCTGTCCGGCCAGCATCCAAGGTGTGAGCAGGGCCAGGCGCTTGGGCTAGAGTCTGACACAGACGTGGCAGGGGACCTGAGACTCGGATTCTAGAAGGGGCAGTGGAGTCTGCGCCCAGAAAGCCAAGGATGGAATCGCCGAGCGAAGAGCGCCCGCAAAGCGATCCTGGTCCAGCCGAGGCGAGGGACTGAGTTCGAGGTCTCGCGAGGGCCGGAGCCTGGGACAGGGCCCTGGGGGCGCGGGGATGCGACCGGCACTGACCCGAAGTAGGCGGCGGCGGCGGCGGCGACGGGCAGCGCTAGCAGGCAGAGCGCGACCAGGGCCAGCGTGGGCGCGGGGCGCATGGTGCCGGCGGCGGGCACCCTCTGGCATCTCCTCGCGCCGCTAGGCGCTCGCAGCGCCGCCACCAGCAGCCCGCGGGGCTTTAAACCCGGGTGGGGCGGAGCCCGAGACGCTTGGGGAGGGAGCGGAGGGGCGGCGAGCCCCCCGCCCCATTGGCTCCACCGCCTTCTCCCCGCCCCTCGTGGGAGGAGCCCCCGATACCACGCCCTCGCCACGCCCCCGCCCCTGCTGTGCGCTCACCTGGCGCCGCGCCCAGGGCAGGAGGTGAAGCCCCCCCCCACCCCTGAACCAAGAGGCTGGGTGGGACGGGCGTCCGGAGTCCAGGCCCTCTCCTGGGCGGGGTGCGGGGGCTATGATCCCTGCTCCGAGCTGGAGGGTGAGGGAAACCGGTCCTCCTGGGGGTCTGTCTGCAAATCCAGGAGTCGCAGGTTCAGCTCTCTAGCGGCAGTCCCGGGTCTCTGCGGGAAAGGCCTCTCCAACAGCCGGAGAAATTCAGGCCCCATAGCTGGGAAGACCCTTGCCAGAGGGCAGCATAAAGAGGGCAACCCGGTCTTAAAGGAGGGACTGGCGGTCACCAGCGAGGTGCCAAGGGCCGGTGTGACAAAACGCCGCTTTTGGGACCAAAATGTCTGGGGAGTGAGGCAGAGCTACAGAAGGAGGAGGGACAGGCCTCTCCTCAAAGCTCCCTTTTGCTCCTTCTTAAAAGTTGACTCCAGTTCTGACAGCGAAGGTGCTGTGTTCAAAGCAGGAAGTGTCATCAGTCTAGGAAGACGACATAAAACTGGAGACCCAAGTGAGCTTCCAAATGTTTTTGAGAGTCTTGAACACTGAACTAATCAAGCAAAACCGAAATTCAGCTAGCTCGCAATGGATGTCAAGGCCTCAAATAAAGTTAAAAAAAAATCAGCTATGCATAAAGAACATCAGGTGACATGGCCCTTGGATTTGCAGTGGACACCAGCACGATGGGTGGGTGGGAGCTGGTGTTGGGAAGGTGACAGCTCCTGACATCAGGTGGTGGTAACAGCTGTAGTGAGCCTTTTTGACTCATTTCCCTGTCAAATAGCCCAGGGACCAGATGACCCATTTGACTTTAACAACTCTGGGGCCCTATCAAATCTGATAGTCCAGTTCATTGTGGTTATAGGCCCAGCGTGGGCTGCAGAGAACTGGAATCCAGTCATGTAAACTATGAACTCCAGGTGTGAAATGGAGAGGATGACAAATAACTGACAGGATTTTTGTGCAGATGGGATGTCAAATAGAAAGGATTCTTGGTATGGATTGTTATGCCTGCAGGCAGGAGCCTGGGTGTGCTAGTGTTAACAAGGCTAGGGGATGAGGGATGAGTGTCTGATTTGCATGATTTGTTGGTTTCTGGGCTGTGAGTATAAATGTCCCCTTCTGAGGCTGATTTTAAACCACCACTGTGGTCAGTAATCACTGGAATGGGTGACTAGTAGGTGACCCCACCCTGAGTCTCCTTCCTTCTGAGGTTAGAACGCTGCCAAGAAGACACATGCATGCTTTGCAAGCCAGTTATATCTGGATCTGACTCATCACTTGTAAAATCTTGAACTAGGATAGAGGAGTCTCAAAGGAACAGAGGGCTGATCAGGACCAGTGTGAGTCCAAGGAGAGAGTGCACTGGAGTGGTAGAAAGATGCTGCCAAGCCTCAGCCACACCCATGGACATCCCAGTGTGGGCAGAGGAGTGAGTTCAGCTTGGGCTATTCCAGCTGCCTCTCCTGTCCTCATGCCCACAAGCCCAAGCAGTGCACAGGTGCATAGTAAAGGCATGAGAGTTAGGAGGGGGAGCAATTTTTCCCAAAGTGACAGATTTTTAGCATTTGGTGAAAGTTGCCTGTTGCTGTCTCATGGAAGGCTGTGCTGTAGGAAGGAGGTTGGAGGAAGCCTCAAGGTTCAGTGGAGACCTCAGTGGTTGGAGAATAAGAGACACACAGAATATGTTCAGAAGATGCTCTTGTGCCCCCACAAGCCTGTGCAGAGGGCCCCACCTACCCTGAGGCTCCTTTTTTCTAAGGTTAGAGCCCTGCCAGGACTCTGCCTCCTGAGGGGGGGGGTCCCCCAGCAGCTCACACTGACCTCAAGGTACTGCTTCTGCCTCGTTGGCCAAGAGGGCTTCACAGAACTCCCAGAAACAGCTTCTCATTGTTGACAATAAGAATTCCTATGGCAGGGCCTGGAGAGATGGTTCAGCATTTAAGAGCAGTGATGGCTCTTGCAGAGGACCCGGGTATGAGTCCCAGCACCCACATGGCCGCTAACACTGTCTGTAACTCCAGTTCCAGGGGATCCAATGCCTTCTGACCTCTGCAGGCATTGCACAACACAGGTGCACCTACCTACATGCAGGCAATACACTCATTTACATAAAATAATAATTTACAAAAATTTTTACTTATTTTTATTTTATGTGTATGCATGTACTGCCTGCATGTAGGTAAGTGCACCCATGTCGTGCAATGCCCGCAGAGGTCAGAAGAGGCTGTTAGATCCTGTGGGACTGGAGTTACAGACAGTTGTCAGCTGCCATGTGGGTGCTGGGATTTGAACCCGGGTCTTCTGCAAGAACAACCAGTGTTCTTAACCCCTGAGCCATCTCTCCAGCCCTTAAAATAATTTTTAAAAAAAGAATTCCTATGGCAGTTCCAGTGTATCCAGCTCTGTGGGGGGAGGGGGTCTCTATGGGTGTTTGACTCGAAGCTCAGCCTATGGTCTCACTGAAGCTTCAAGTCCCCTGGGAAGCAGGGACAACCATGATCCCCATTGTACAGATGAGAGCAGGGAGGCTGAGGGAGCTGAAATAGCCACTTTAGGTGATCCAGCTGTAGGAGTGAAGGCACGAGTGGACCCCAGCTACAGGAGGACTGCCTGCTCTAGCTGTGGTTCATGGTGACCTAATCCATAGCAGCCTTCACATCATGCATGCTTTCAGAGTACTATGCAGCTCCTAGGATCTCACTCCCAAGAGTGCATTGTCTAGAGACAAATATGGGAGGTGGTGAAACAGATTCCCTCACTGCTGCAGTGTTGTGGGATCCCTGAGAAAGACCTGAAGGGGTCCTGAAAGGGGTGACCCCTGCAATGTATAGCCTTGGGCCCTGAATGGCTTCTTCTGCCCCCGCCCACTGCCTTGCCTTACAAATTCCTCAAAGGCAAGGCTGAATTTTATTCCTCTCTCCAGGACCAGCACATAGTAGGTACTTAGGAAACATGTTGTTGTCAGTTTATAACTTTGACCTGTTAGTCTTTGCCTTTTTAGGGGGCTACAGAGGTGTAGAGTAACATACCAACATGATGCATGCTCACAGAAGCACTCCCTCCTATGCTGACGCTTGCCCATCCAGCATGCATAGGTGAGTAGACACACACACACACACACACACACACACACACACACACACACAACCTACCCGATGGTTGTCTAAATTCCTAGGCAGACTCGCGGCTGCTCTGGGATCCACACGTTCATACAAGTATGCAAGAGAGCATTCTTAGCTATCCACAAGCAGCTACCTGTCTCTATGAACCAGTCCAAGGCAGTCGTTGCCCGGGGGTGGAGTAGTCTCCTCCCCTCAAACACACACACACATACACACCACAACCCGGAGTTCACAAGCATATGACAAATTCAGCCCTCTCTTCCTCCTCTCCTCACCAAAATACCTGCTGAAATGAGAGTGACACTAAGTCAGAAAGGGGGCCTCAGAATCCCCACGCAGGACACTCATACTTGAGAATGACCCCCGCACACAAACAAAAAAAAAAGAGAGGGCAGAGAAAGACACCTTGGAGGAGGGGTGTAGATTAAAATGTTTTGAGGTTTATTTATTATTTTTATTTTATGTGTAAGCATGTATTGCCTGCATGTAGGTAAGTGCACCCATGTCGTGCAATGCCCGTGGAGGTCAGAAGAGGCTGTCAGATCCCCTGGGACTGGAGTTATGGACAGTTGTTAGCTGCCATGTGGGTGCTGGGATTCAAACTCTGGTCTTATGTAAGACCAACCAGTGTTCTTAACCCGCTGAGCCATCTCTCTAGCCCCAATTAAAAAGTTTTTATTATCTTTGTATTTTCCAATTTTTCTATTACAAGGATATTGAAAAGCAAAATCATGTAAAGAGGGGAGGAGGGCTGAAGATGTAGCTCAGTTGCTAGAGCGCTTGCCTAGCATGCATGAAGCCCAGGGTTTGAGCCCTAGCACTGCATAAACCAGACATAATGGCACAGGTCTGGAGTCCCTGCACTTGAGAGGTAGAGACAGGAGAATCAGAAGTTCGAGGTCATTCTCAGCTACATAGGAAACTCAGGTCAGCCTGGCTACATGAGATCCTGAAAAGAGAACAGAGAGACAGAAAGACAGAGAGAGATATTTGATGGCAGAACTTTAAGCACTGGACAAGGAGATAATTAGGAAGGAGACAATGGAGATCTTGGGTGGATGGCCCCACCGTATCCATTCATCAACCCTTCTGTAGAAAGGGTCTGGTCCTTTCTTGGGATGCTCAGTCCAGAGCTCACCCCTACCCCCAATAATTATAAGTTGAGGCCTTTCATTCTTCCTCCTTCCTCTTCTGCCTCATTCCATCCAGATCAGCACTCTGTAGTGTGTGTGGGAAGTAGCATGATCCACCCTCTTTTGCCTCTTGCCTGCCTGAGGCTCTTCACCAGGACTTGAACATGGCTGCGTCTTCGCACCTAACCGGGGAAGGGTGAATGCAGAGGGGTGTCCCTTTAGCACCCCTGGCACTGGTACTCCTATTGCCAAGGCAACAAGTTTCATCCTGGAAACCTTGACCAACTCCTGCCTCAGCTCACTCATCACCTTGGCCCAAGAAACTCTATTGGAATGCCATATCAGTGACCGTTAATGTGCAGTATTCTTGTATTTAGGAGCTGTTGACCTCCTTGCTAAACTAAGGGCCTGCGCCCTATTTCTTTTTTGCTTTGTGGTATTATGGATCTAACCCAGAGCCTCACATACTAG